AAAGAAAGAAAGAAGAGAAGAGAGATGTTAAAGAAGAACGAAGTAAAAGAGAAAAAAAAAAGAAAAGAAGAAACTGTGGAGTATAAGAAAGAAAGAAAGAAAGAAAGAAAGAAAGAAAGAAAGAAAGACAGACGGTGGCGGCGGCGGGGCCATTTTAAAAGGGAAAAAGTTTTAAACTGCGGGAGCGTAAGAAAAATGCTTTTCTTTTATACCAGGTAAATACGGTAGAAGAAGAGAGGAGACGAACGCCGCCCGTCTTTTGTCTCTAACAGCAGGTTGAATCTGTAAAAGTTTGTGCTGGTAATTGAGACATCCCTTTGTACGTTAATTGAACGAAAAATTTTTTTTGCAAGAGTTACGTATATTACAGTTATGTCAAATTCTTCTTATTTTTACTTTCTCATCGTATTAAAAAACATTCAACGAAAAATACATTTTTGTATTCTTTGTCAAACTTTTCAATTAAACAAAAGTTATTTTACGATTTTAATGCTTTTTCATCAACAAACAAAAAAAAAGAAATTTAGTTAGAAAATTTAGTTAGATTGATCGTATTTTGGAATAAAAATAAATTATTTTTATTTTAATTATTTAATAAATATCTATTACAGATTTTATAAGATTTGTACAACCTATCATCGAAGATTATTTTATTCACAATCGTATTTTGAAATAAAAAATAAATATTATTCTTATTTTAATTATTTAACAAAAATCCTTTACAAATTTCTTAAAATCCGTACAACCAATCATTGACGATTATTTTAATCGACCATCTTTCTAAATAAAAAATAAATATTATTCTTATTTCAATTATTCAACCAAAAATATCCATTGCATGCATTAAAAAAAGAAAAAACTATTGTACATTTGATTTTCTAAAAAGAAAGAAAGGAAGAAAAGAAAAAAAAAGACAAAGAAAAAAAAATGATTCTTTCGAGAAGAAATAACGTTATAGGTTATGTCTATCCAATCCAACGCAGGGGTCGTGGTGGGGGGAGAGAGGGAATCGCGATTTACTTACCGTGAGAAGAAGAAGAAGAAGAAGAAGAAGAAGAAGAAGAAGAAGAGGAGAAATGTAAAATATCAGGATTTTCGACAGATGGCCGGAATCTCAGACCTCGGGCCGCGACTGCGTCGAAGGCAACGGGGACTGTTGGAAAAGAGGGTGGAGGAGGGGGAGAAGGAGGAGAAGGAGGAGGAAGAGATACTTCGACCTCACGATTTTAAACCCTCCGGGTAACTGCCGATGGAAAAGTTGCGCTCTGAGTGCTGTTCCACTTTGTTTTTTCTTTTTCTCTTTTTTTTTTTTGTTTCTTTTTCTCTACGATGTTTCTCAGAGAGAGATCCCGTAGACGACGACTACGACAGCGACTAGAAATTTCCCTAACATTTTTCCCTATCGTTTCTTTCTTCGCACCGTTTCAGAAAAAGAAATGTCGTCTTCGACGTTGAAAACTTTTTCTCGTCGAGAGTTTCAGTATTTTCCATTAAAACAATTCGAACGTTGTATAGATAAATAATACAATATTATATTGTAATATAATATTAATTATAATTACCATAAAATACCACAAAATTTGATAATAATATAAAAATAACAATATAATATTGTATTATTGATATAATATTTTTAATATAATGGTAATACTCTCTCCATGTAATACTGTAATATTGTATTTTTATATTATTATCCAATGTTGGTATTTTATTAAAAAACAATTTAATTTAATTTAATTTACATATTAAAAGAAAAAAAAACACAATTTTTCTACATGCATGCATTTGTAACCAACTACATTACTTTATCTCACATAAAATAAAATCATATTATACCCAATTCTTTTATCTTTAAATTAAAATCTTTAATTATTCTTTCCTTCTACAATTATAAAATTATATTTTAACACTAATCATACCAAGACTTAATATATACCTATTTCTACCATAGCGGGTCAAATGACCCGACTTTATGTTTCATGCTTGAATGTATGAAATATGGATGTTAGGMAGGAAATAAAAATATAAATTAARTTTATTATAATTAAACAAAATAGTATGTTGAGCATTTCTATTACAAAAGCAAAAAATAAAAATTTTTAATTCATAGTTCATCGYATTTTTTACATATAAGTGTGTCCATTGTACATTTTCCGCAAACATATTTTTTACATTTAGAGCAAATTTTGTTGGTTTTATTTTCTTTACAGTATCCTATTTGACATCTCATACGTTTATAAGCATCTGTAGTAGACTTAGGCAACGATCCTTTCGTATTTGTTTYTTGTTTTGGTTGTTCACGGGCTTCTCGAAAATCGGCGCCAAGTTCTTCTGCTAGCTTGAGTAAAAAATCTTGTCTCGAGATATTTTCTCCTGTCGTTTGCTTGTACAAAATCCAGGCATTTAKKCCAGCTARATCAAGGATATTRAAAAAAACTTGGAGAGGCCATCTGCAAGACTTAGATTTTGTAGTAAATTTCCTCGCYATTTGATCGGTCATGTCTACACCAAATTTGGTTTTATTGTAATATGAAACAGTTTCAGGTAAACGTTTATCATTGTTTTCTACTTTAACGAATTTATGTTTAGAACTAAGTAAAAGTACTTTTTTTGTTGGCTTACTTTTATAGATTGTAAGAGTACAATTATCTGTTGTAAAAATTTTCGATGAAAATCGTTCAATATCATCTTTCTTTTGCTTCGCAATTAGTGGTAATTCTCTTTTATTTGACTGAATAGTTCCAACTAACGTAGTTTTTTTGGCTAGCTTGTGTTGCTAGGGATTTGCTTGTGAAGAATATGGTTCATAATCCGGTGGTCAATTATCAATGAAAATGCAGTACTAACTTTACCTTTCATTATATGACGTTTTGCATATCCTGTTGGGCCTACTTCTTGCCTGAAAATGTTATGAAGTGGTGCTCTTCCAGGTGTGCCACCTACTTGCATTTGTTGCCAAACAGATCCATCATTCGCAACATTTTGTTCATTTATTTCTACTTCACTTTCTTCCGAACTTGAGAGTAATCTTATTCTTTTTCGGCCACTACATACATTCACAATATTTTCCTCTTCATCGTCAGTATCTGTAGAATCAAACTCATTTTTATTTGCAACCAATATATCTTCATTTTCAGAAAATTCATCTTCACTAATTTCTRAAAACTCTTCGCCAATATTATTTATATCCTCTAAGAACTTGTACTGTCTTGTTTGCTTCGACATTTTTCTAGGTAAAAAATGACCTGTATTACTATAGCTATCAAAATAAAATATAAACTAGGTACTTACCAAGACTTTCAATTTTTGCCACTTTTTCTTACACTAAAAAGCTATTTTCAATCTAAAATTTGATATTTTCTTGAAATTATTCTGAGCTATTTTCGATGAACTACTTTACGCAACAGTCTTTGGAAGAATGTGCAACTTATTGACTACAAATATGACTCGATAATCTCATAAAACAAAAAAATTCTCTCCGGGTCAAATGACCCGTTGTGGTAAATATCGGTATACAACAAGGATTACTCAGAATAAACAAAACAAAACAAAACAAAAAAATTGTTATAACTGTACATTAATTACTTAGAAAAAGTCATGAAGTCAAATGTGCAAACGCAATAAAATTATACGTGCATTTTCAATGCAAAAGTTCAAAATGGGTCATTTGACCCGTTATGGTATGTTTAGTGTTAAAGCTTATTTAAAAAACACAAACAAAATAATAATAATAATAATAATAATAATAATAATAATAATAATAATAATAATAATAATAATAATATCTCAGCAGGTAAAGGTGTATTAATTTATCTATTTCCTTTTAACGAATAACTTGTGCAAACGCTTATGCAAACGTTGTAAAGTAAAGTTTCGGTAATCCGCTTGGCTTGGTCGAAGGATGAAGGATCTTGTAGTGTACAGAGAGAGAGATCGGTTGCTTCAACATCTGAAGGGCAAAGATAAACGGGATATCAGAGTCCGAAGATCGTCAGGGCATCCAAAATTCTCGTCCTTTCCTTTAAACCTATATATGTACAGGGTGATTCATCAGCTCTTGCCAAGTTATATGAAAAATTAAGGACTACAGTATGACATTAATATTTTTTTGCTAAGTTAAGTCATTGATCAACTTTGTTTCTTTAAATACAGTGTTATATCTTAATACTCATTTTCAGATAGCGGCTGACAAGACGAATCCCACGATGTGCAACATTAAATACAAAACCTGACAATGACCAATAAAAACTATAAGGAAAATATCTGTTTCATCCGTCATCGGAACATTAAAGGATGACGAAACCCTGATACAACTCTGACGTGACCACGACGCGACCGTGATGTGGAAGAGCTGTATTGTGGTTAACTTGTTCGCCAGTTTCCACCTTCGTTGAGCTCCAAAAATATTAATGTTGCATATCATTGGATTTGTCTTGAAAGCCACTATCCGAAAATAAGTATTAAAATATAACATTGTATTTAAAAAATAAAGTTGGCCAATAAATCTTGAAAATGACTCAACCTATCAAAAAAATACTAATATCATATTGTAGTCTTGAATTTTTCATGAAACTTTTGTTTTATTCACTTTTCTGGTAATATCATACTTTTGGTGTAATTTAGGTGGCAAGTGCTGGTGAATCACCCTGTATATATCTACCTAAAGATATATAGATAACAGCTAAAAAGATCTATATATACGTATATATGAAATAGATGAGTATGTGTAAGTATGAGGATTGATATCTCGCACATGAACGCCGAGGAAATCGCTATAGTTTTCACGCGGAACGTAATTTAGGTATGAAATATATATATATATAGATAGATATATATCTGTTAGCAGCACACCATTAAACAACTATACACATGACTCGAGAGTTCTCGCCCATAGCTTTGTCCGTTGAAGCGAATGGGGAACCCCATGAAATGTCTGAGGCACTATGGGCCTCCGAAGTTCGGTAATCACACGGTCCGGTGCACCGCAAAGCAAACCTAAACGCGCCCGTAATCTCCACTTCGCGGAAAGCGCGGATTTATTTGATAAATTGAAACAATGAAATTAAAATTATGAAAGGAAATGTTATGGTGAATATATAAGATTGATATTTCTTTTTTAAGATAGGAATAATTTTGTAATCTTATATTTTCTTTTTTTATTATAAATTTTACTTATTGAAATGATTGGTTATTATATAGTTTATTAATAGTTTAGTTAAAAGTTATTATATAGTTTATTATTAAATATAAATGTTTAATATTTTAACGCAACGATTAATTAATTATTTATCGAGATTATTGTTATTAATAAGAACGCATTCTATAAATTAATTAATTGAACAATATAATATTGATTTGTTGGGCATTTGAGAGAAAAATTGAAATGAAATTATTTATCTTCTTCAAAAACAAAAACAAATATCAATTAGAATGATTATATGTGTAAAATTTGAATAAGACGAGGGAAAAATATAATATTATATTCTTTTTAAACAAATCTAGATGGGAAAAATAAAAGAAAGAAGAAACGAGAAAGTTCCCAGAAGACGTCAAGATCGTCGCAAGCACAATCAGTCAGGGTGTCCACCTCGCTTACAGTGTTCATACGTCCCATGAGAAACCCCTTTTTCTTTCTTTCTCGTGGGTAGGATTATGGAACCGAATAGTGTAATCGATTAACAATTCCGACTTAATCTACACGACTTAAGTATTTCCAAATCTCTCTCTCTCTCTCTCTCTCTCTCTCTCTCTCTCTCTCTTCCACCCTTTCTCTCTCTTCATAACAAGTCAAATTTGAAACCAATCAAATATTACAATATTTTCCAAAAATTAAATAATATAACAATACCTTTATAACAAAAATTAAATAATAATATTATATTATATTAAATAATATAATAATTATACATACTTAAATTAATTATATATGCACTATATAAATTATATAATACTTTAATAAATTGTATATTATAAATACCAATGTGTGTAATATTACATATATATATATATATTAGGGTGGGTCAAAAAAATCAATTATTTTTTTTTTTTACAAGTGACGGAAAAATGGGTTGCTAGACACCTTAAAAAAATTCTCACCAAATATGAGCTCTTAATTTTAATAGCAAGATCCTCCGCATCGCAATTTTTTATTTTTTTTTCAGTCCAATAGATTAAAATTCATACCTCATTATTTATTGATTGTACAGAAAAATGTTCTGAAAGAATTTTGTAGGAAATTTAATGCTCTACAAAAAAGGTATCTTATATTTTTTCCATAAACCTCACCATTTGAATGATATTGAAGATTTAAGTTTGATTATTTTAAGACAAATTTCATTTTTGTTTATGAATTTTATAACTCGACAATAAATGACTATTAAAAAATGCGCAATACAAATTTTTGTAGGAAATTAACTGCTACATAAAAATGGTATCTTATGTTTTGGCGATTAAATTAAGCGTTCAAAAGATATTCATATATATATTATATAATTTTTAGTTTTATAACTAAAACTAACTACAAAATTAAAATAATATTATATATAAATTAAATAATACTTTAATAAACTATATATTTCAAAAGTCAGTATAATATAATATTATATTTTATATTATGATATATATTAATTTGTTTTATTTTCTTTAAATAATTATTTAAATATCAAAATGGAATACAATTGATAGAATATAACAGAACAAACAGCATCAGCAACAGGAACAGTAGCAGCAGCTAAAACGAGATGCATTTTCCTTCCAATTCCAACGAACAGCTCGTGTCAATGCCGATATCATCGGGACTGACATCGTCTGATATTGACACACGGTACAGAGAATAACATGCGTGTCATGCATGTTATTCAAAATATCATGACGGTAGAACCGCGTTTCTGCTGCTACTGCTACTGCTGTTGGTTGCTGTTGGTTGGTTGCTGTTGTTGCGACAGTAGAGAAACGTTTCGGGGTGGTCGTGCTTTGAGCTTTATACCTGAATTCTCTCTCTCTCTCTCTCTCTCTCTCTCTAGTGGTATGTTACAACCAACGTTGAATTATACCCCCTCGACTACTGTCGCCCAACAACAACAAAGCGGTCAGTTTCGTTTACCCACTACTATGCTTCGTCTGTGGCCATATCACTCCGGTAACCCCCCACCACCAACACCAACACCACCACAACTACCACTACTCGACCTCACAGTCCTTTAGAGAAAGCTGAAATAAAAAAAAAATAAAACACAAAAAAAAAATAAAGAGAAAGGAACCCCATAGTGGAACTGTCGCGAAAACTGAATTGTCGGCCGAGTGCGTTTGTAAACGAAAACGGTTCTCTAGTTGATGAAAGCAACATTTCAATGGGTATGAGGAGAAATAGGAGGAGGAGGAGGAGGATAATTTGTTAAAAGTTAGCTCAGTAGGTACAACTTTTTTATAATATGTACAAAATTTGTTTGAAATGATAGTGAATATGATCGTTGGAAAGGAATGTTTCGTTGCTATGCGTGCGTGTATTCGTGCGTGCATGGGTGCGTGAGTCAGTGAAAAAGGTCCTAATTTGAAAAAATAAAAACAAAAAGAGAAAGAGAAAGAGAAGAAAGGTCAAAAAGAGCCGTTAAGTCTGACGGATGATAATACTACAAGCGCCGGAGGTTTAACGCCACATTTCAGCGAAATTTTAGACTC